TTAAAAGTGAACAAGCTGCTTTCTCTGTGGCAAAGTGAGACCTTGACTCATTAAGGAGCAATCTTTGCTTTGGTCAGTCAATATTTTAAATAGGCTTGGCCCATCAGCCTGCTTGTTTGATATTGGTCTGCTGCCTGCTGGAGGGTTTATATTGGAAAATGTTACTCTGCTGTCTGATTTAATGTGACTTTTTTGCCATGTTAGCAGCAGGACACGGACACTTCAGTTGGTCAGTCCACAAATGTAGTCCAGACAGAGGAGTCTGTAGTACATTGTGGATTGCCATGAATCATGGGCCCCATAAGATATGTCATATCATAATGAGTTTAACCTCCTCATATCTTATGTACTTCTGCTTGCTGACTTTTTTTTTGGGGGGGGGGGGGTTTCCAGTGAAAAGTCTCCACATTTTTTTAATGGATTGGCACAAAATTTGTTACATTCATTGTTCCTAGAAGGTGAATCCATCTGACTTTCCAGTTACCAATTTGTGTTTAGTGCTTCGTAACATGCTAAGCAGGGCTGCAGCTAACGATTATTTTGATCAAGGTTTTATCTGATCAATGAAAACTAACAAAAATTGTCACAACAATCCCCACAACTTTGCAAAGCTGAACGCGATGTCCCCAAATGTCTAGTTCCAAATATCCAAAGATACATAGTTTACAATGATAGAAAAAAAGCAAGACATTCTCTTATTATAGAGGCTAAACAATCGATAATCAATTATCAAAATAGTTGCCGAAAAGCAATCGCTTAAGCACTAAGATGCGTTAGCATTTTGCTACCTGCTGGACATCAGCATGGTAGCATTGTCATTGTGAGCATGTTAGCATTCTGACATTAGCATTTAGCTCAAAGCACTGCTGTGCCTAAATACAGTCTCGCAGAGCTGCTAGCATGACTTGATACCTTAAATGTCAATGAGAAAACCCAGTTGACAACATATTAAGGATAAAAATATATGGGACAGCCTGCTACCAAACTGATATTATAGTTAAAGTGATAAAATAGACTCCTGTAAAGAACAGTTCATGTTATGCCTTACTGTGTTTTTACGAGCTACAGATACGCGCTTGCTACCAGGAGAACTACAAGTGTACTTGAATAATCTTTTACAAAGCCAGAGGAGTAGAGTGAAGGAAGGCACTCCTTTAATTCTGCAGTTCAGGGGATTTTTCTTTTTTGCTCCCTGCACTCCTCCCACCCTCATCTCTGTCTCTCCCTGGTTTTCTCTGGCTTTGCTGGTTTTGTACACACCAGCACACTCGCCACAGCCAAGTCTAAGCTGAAGGGACACTGAGCTGTATGTAAATCAATTTGGAACGCAGCCGCATGTGGAAATAGAATTAGACTTGTCAACCACACCTCTTTAGTTCCTCCTCTTTCTTCATCTCTCTCTCCCTCTGTAGTAGTCTGCTCTTTTGCGAGTTACGCATACAGTGCCATAAGTAGCAGCTATAGGAAGGCTTAGGGTTAGGCTTGTGGGGGAGAGGGGATTAAAAGAAATCACTGAAGTTAGCAGTCTTCAAAGGAAGCAGAGAGACTGCAAGAGGAGCCACATTTCTCTCAAATGGTTTCATGCTCAAGGGGCTTTGTGTAATGGTGAATTATTACATGAGGCATGGAGTCACATATATGTAAATGAGGCTCAGCCCTTAAAATTTGCACCGAACATTGTAGTCTCTGGATGGCTGAGAAAAGATATTAAAAACAGAGATTCATCAAGTTCTGGTTACATCGATTATGCTCTTGTAGCGAGTCTGTGGCTGATATGTTTGTTTTTTTTTTTCTTTTCAAATAAAACTCATCAAAACATGTTTCTTTCAGCAACAATTTTATCTGCCAAAATTTCAGACATGACAGAAAATCGTATCTGAGAAAGGTGGAGGGATTTTTTAAAAATGTTTTTCTGCTGTTTAGTTCCTGCACTGTGATAGTCATATCTCTGCCTGACATTCATTGATTGTTGTTTAGTGCATAGACTGTAAGTCAGCAGTCCATTTATGTAGAGAGATGGAAAGGACGCAGGAACATGTGTTCACCTGAGACGTCGGGGGCTAAAAGTTCAGCAAAAAAATCAGAAAGGCCAGTTATTGCAACAACATGATGAGTGTTCTGTTTGAACGCCTTTTACAAATACCAAATCATACTCCTACGTATGTAGGAGTATAAGCGTGGACAACATACTAGCCTCTCAAGGAAAGTGTCGAAAACTGGGCCTCTGACTTTTAGAAACAATCAGTAATTCATGCAGTAAATTAATTTTCAGAGAAATTAAATTAATTCTGAAGAGCAGTCTGTATGATGCTGAATATAAGAGATGGTAGATTACCTTTTAAGACAAATAACAGTATTTTCTGCCTCACTGGGGTGCTATTAAAAAGCTCCTCATTCATCACAATTAACCTGTGCGACTATTAGTGAATCGTTAATTAGGTGTTGGACTGTGTCTAATGAATCGCAATACACACTTAAAGCACCGAATCAATGGTTATTGACTCAAGCAATTATAGGAGATTTATACATTACAACATCTTTGATAAAGAAAAATGTGAAGTCCTATCAGAAAAGTAAATTAGGAAAGACGCGTACTGTCAGTTCACAGGGCACAGTTTCAGGTTGAAACCATCGTCTTCCTCGTGTGGATTGAAGGCATTTGTTTAAAAAAGTAATTTTGCACATCCATCAGAATTTCTGCATCTCAGTTCCATTCATAGATTTCAACACCTGTCTCTTATAACATACTAGAGGAAAATTCAAAGCAGCACTTGGGAGAGTTCACACTGGGTTTCTGGTGAGAACTGTGGTGATTTTCAGACCAATTCTCATCTGCTACGTTCCATCTAAAATGTGTTTAATCGGCTGCATGTTCCTCTTGACTAAATTATGGGTGGAGGTTGCTGAGAAAAGAGGTATAATCACGAGGATGTATTCCTGTATCCAGAGAGAAACTGCACCCTCGCGCTCCTCCGTTGCTGCTGTTTAGTGGAAAAACACAACTGTCGCATCTTAGATACAACGAGGACGACATTCTCTATCTTCTCTCAATCAAAATGTCAAATTCATATCTTTTTCATGAATACACACAAACGCTCAGGGGAGTTAAAGGGCTGTAGTGAGTCCAGTAGCTCAGATTTATTTCTCTGTACTGGGCATCTGATCATCAGCAGGGTCATTTCAGGTGCATAAGATGCACAATCCCACACCGCAGAGCTAAAAGGTAACCAGCGAGGGCAGAGGAAGCTCAGTTAACATCCATGGCCTCATAAACTCTGTGTACTCTTGCCAAGGAGTTGATTACAGGCAGACTGTCATGTAAAACCCACAGCTTTAATACAGTGTGTGTCGTAGTATCAGGAGCCATGCTGCCCTAAGCTGGCTTTCCCCAAACAAGCCACCAAAATGTAGCACAGGAGCATTTGCTTGGAATTAACGACTGACATGACATAAATCCCATCTTTACTGCAAACACAACCTTTTATCAGAGCTTTTTGAATTTGCCTTTGAATTTAAAAAACATCAGTGTGTAGTGTTGGTGTTTTTGCGAAGTGTCTGTTTGTCACTGTCACTTTTTAATTATATAGATAATATAAGAATATAGTATAAGGATATACAGTATATTTTAGGATTTTTCCATTAAGCACACACTACCCTCTGATGTGTCATCCATTTTTAATGAGACATACCGGCCTCTTTAAAGTGATTACTGGCCGCTGGCTTATCAGATTTGGTTTAGAGCGTGCTAATGGCATGATAAGGCACATTAAAGAGATAATAAGTATTTAATGAAGTTAAATGTGGTCAGGCCTGGGCTACAGAGGATTGATCCTTTTTTAAACAGGTCATAAAAAATGAACTTTAAATGTTCAGATAAGATGTTAAATGAAAAAAAGTACATTATTGGCTTAATCTACCCTCATCTAATTCTGGTTTTTAGTACATGCAAGTTGTGTGGGATGGCACAGAATTGTGGGATATGAATGATTCCCACTGTGATTTGGACAAACACTGTGCTCCAGTTTCTAAATCCTGTCGTCCACCTCTTCTGTCTTTGTGAATCCCTCGTTTTTTTGCTGAAAAAAGAAGTGTTTTTGGGAAGTGTCATGGGAGCTGTGCACTTAGCAGGCAGACCTGAGATGATTATTGATTATTTTGTTCAACATTCACGTTTTTAAAACACACGTGTCTATGTATATGTGTCTGTGGTGCAGTGGGTTGTTTGGATTTTAGACACAAATCTTGTAGTAATTATCACCTTTCTGCTTTTTCTCACTTGCTGTGACCTTCTCACTTGGCTCCCTCTTGCTCTTGCACTCTCTCTGGACCTCTGTTTCACACACATGCTTACACACACACACACACACACACACACACACACACACACACACACACACACACACACACACACACACACACATACACATATACATATGCACGTACGCACACACACATTTCCTGAGAACGTCCTTCCTGATGTCAGTGTGATTATGCAGCTGTAAAAGATGGGTGTTCCTATTGCTCCTTTGCCAATGCTTGGGGTGGGGCTCACTGTGTCCATCTGTTCGTGGCCCAAGGAGGAAAACGCATACACACACACACACACACACACACACGCACACGCTGACACACAGTTTAAAGTATGTCTACAGATGCACACACATTTGCACAGAAACCCATATGCACAAAATAATTACCTCAGCAGGGATTTTACTCAGTCCTGCTGAATGCAAGGGGATTCAAGGACCCATACAAACATCTAATAAATTCACAAAAAGTCTCCTCTATCCTCAGAATGCTAAGCACTTGGACTATCATCGACTATTATTCCCCAAATCCTTACAAGCAACACTGAATCCACAGGAAAAGAAAAAGTGTCCAGCTTTCTTAGTAGTCTTAAAACACAGACTTTTTTTTTTTCAACCAATTCAGAGTCACAGCAATGAAAAAATACCTGGGTGTATGATGTGTCTGTTTCCTTTATTTTGTTCTCTTCTTAGGGGACTTTTTGCAAGCCATTACACCGAGACACATTACCAAGAGGATGGACGTGCAGTCACCGGTGCTCACAACTTCACGGTACGGTGGCACTGGAGTGCTTTTGACATTTATGGTCAAGTTGATGTGCAGTGGTGCTCTGCAGTCACACTGTAAAAACTGACCCTGACCTGTTTTGCTTTTTTCTCACAGAGGAGGGTTACGGATGATAATCTCTGCTGTATCTTATGCATTCGTAAAAAAAAAAAAAAAAAAAAAATCAAATTTAGGAATTGAAATTGGTGCTTGATTGCAATGATTTGTTTGATCGCTACAGTGTGACCCAGTGTGTATGTGAAAGCCCCTGGCTGTGGCAGAGCAGGACATCTATCCTGTGGCCTACTTGATGATAAGCTGTGTTTTATGCTGGCTGTTTTTAAGCCAACACTGCCATCAGGATTTCATTATGGAATCCCCTTTTAGCAGCTGATCTATTCCTGACAACTTGTTAGTTTTTTTCTATGTGTACGCTAGCAGCAGTCTGTTAAAGGAAAGTGCCTGCTACTCTTTTGAAAATGAAGAAAAGATTGATGTTCATATTGAATTTCTTCTTCTTCTTTTGTACTTATCAAGGCCACTCACTGAGGTACTTGAATGGTTCAAATCAGTTTATGTGGCTCATAAAAGAAAATTGATTTTTCATTCTATGGTGAAGGTATTTTTAGTTTGAGTTAGGTAGAAATAAGATTTTTACTGCATGGCAACAGGTAGGCAGTTTTCAGCAGCAGCCCGTGTAGAAGAGGGATAACAGTTCTGTGGGGTTGCAGGAACATGTGATTTGTGACTTTGAAAAGCGCCCTGTCTCTCAGTAATGTTCAGTAATTTGGCAACAGCTGACAAGTCTGTTTCCCGCAAAGTTGTGCAAACAGTGTTCTTCACTCTCTCACCTTTTTAATTTTGTGTGGGAGGATGTTCCAAGCAGTGCATCAGGCTGTCAAGTAGAAATACTGTATTGTCTTTGAAGAGCCTCACACAGCTGCACACTTTCAGTACTTGTCTCTGAACTCAGAAATCAGCCATGTGTTTATCAGGGATCAGTGGAAAAGATGTGTACTGTAAATAAACCCTCCTCTGACATACAAGTGAACACGTATGAAACAAACTTAAGCAGGAGCTGCTTTGTGGTAGCTCAGTTATTACAAACTCGCGTGCAGCAAAAAACATTGTTCAAACCCACAGAAGTTTCGTTTTTTTGTGGAAGTTTCCAAAAAAAAAATTTTCTGGCTGAATTTTAGGGAAGTAAAAACTGGAGTCTCTGGTTTAAATATTTCACTCAAATTAAACATCATATAGCTTCGATGAAGACTTGGAACAAGCTGATTGATGCAGAACATATTCCATGTCATACTGTCACACAGTGTGAAATAAGGTGATTTTTCCAAACTTATAGATACTTAAAGGGAAATAAAAGGGGAGACGAGATGTTAATGGGCTTTAACCAGGATTTATTCCACCTCTGCTTTTTGTAGCTCCAGGAAATCTTCTAACAACGAGCTTTAGTTACTGTAAAAGTCACAGACACACTGAGGCTAACTGAGAGAGACAATCACTATCGCTGCCTGATGTTTTCTTTTATGAAAGGTGAACTAATCTAGGTCAACCATAGCCTAAGCTCAGAGCCTTTGTAGCTGCTCTATTTTTACACTTAATTTAATGAATCTTGATTCCATCACCACCTGGCTCGGTAACAAACAGAAGACGTTTGAAATGAGTGGGTTTTTTCTTTCTTTTTTTTTCTTTTTTTTTTTTTGCTAAAATCTAAGTATTTCCTCCTCCAGTTCAGTATTGGGGGTGAGAAATGTTCAGTGTAGTGACAAATGACAGTTGATTTAAGAGGACTAGAGTGCTGCTCGACAGTAAATGGAGGTCTGTATTCCCTTTTAACAAGAGTCATTTCCTCTGCTCTTCTTGTGCTCAGACAGCGGTGCTTTTTCACTGTGTCTGAGCAGCCTTAAATGTCCTCTCCCCCCTTTTACTAGACCACCCTGGTGGAATAATGAAGGAAAAACAATTACCATATTACTGTCACCCCCCATCCGTGTCAGTTTCCCTGCTTTTCCCTTCAACTATGTAGGTTGCATTAATTTCAAAAGGCCTGTTTGTAAAGAGAGAGAGAGAAACTGCTCCACAGAGCATGCTAATTTAAATGAACACAACTTAGGACAGCATCAGCACACTTCCACTGTATCTTGTCCCGTTTTGCTCTTTTGATGTCAGTTAAGAACTACTGCTACAGGAAATGTGACAAGAATCTTTTTTTAAATAAAAAAAAAAACAAAAAAAACAAAAAACAATACATTTTAATTAAATTATCCAGTGGGTAAAGTTTTCCTTGCATGCAGTGTTTTCATCTCCAGTATTTTTAAAATCTTTTATATTCAAACAATCTCTTTTAGAATAACTGCTACTATCATGGCGAAGTGCAGGCGCATCCAAACTCTGATGTCACCCTCAGCGTCTGCTCAGGCCTTCGGTAAGAAACACAACCATCGTTTTGTATTCAAGCAGCATCTCAACGCTGCCCTTTAAGTGCTATTTGCCACAGCAATGTTTATATTTACTTAAGTCACTCTGCACAGCAGCCCATCGCTCTTAAGCCCCTTAAGCAGGCTGTCAGTAAGTTGGTGTGTGACTCGTGGGAATAGAAAATGTCACACCTCATTGTCTTTGTCCTCAGAGGCATCCAGTGAATATCTGGTCTCAGTCTGACAGTAATAGGCACCTCACTGTTGCTAATGACCGAGCACGACTGGAAGATTTGAGATTTTGGTCTCATTCAAGTCTTAAGATGCACAGTGTCATCTTCTGCTTAATTACACAGCAAGGAAACATTTTTGGAAATAGAAAATGTTTATTTTACCATGATGACCTTTTTATCAATGCAATAAAAGCAAATGACAAAGAGCATTAAAGTAGGCTAAAATATTCTTGATATGAAATTGGAGAACTTTTATGCGCAAAGCCAGTAGGAGTTTTAACCCTAGCGAGGCCCGTGTTGGCCCGTCTGCCAAGATAAAGAAAAAAAGTTTTAAAGTTTCAACTGGCTTCAGTAAAAGTGGGCTATACCTCAGTTATCACATATTCCATTAGAGAGAGCCACATTCAGTCAAACTCTGCATCTGAGAGATTGCTTATACTTTGAAGCTTTGTTTTCAAATGTGCACCGCTGTCTCTGCAGAGGCTTCATCGCACTTGAAAACAAGACATTCATCATTGAGCCTGTGTCTGGCCAAGACACCGGTTCCCACCTCATCTACCGAGTGGAAGAACTCACACTGACCCCAGGAGCCTGCGGGCATGGCTTCAACATGTCTTCTGTTGCTCCTGAAAACCACATCAAAAGCCCCTTCCAATCCTTCCACACAAGGGTGAGATTAGTATCATGTTGTTTTTATGGCAAAGCTTGTATAAGAGCCTTTGGATATCTATATTATCATCATTGCAGCATTTTTTGTCGTATTTAATTGTTCCTGAAGGGTAAGACTAACACTCACTTGGTGAAAGATGAATGGGCTTTTGACCAAAGATCAGCAAACTGGCAGGCAGACCAGTTTGGATAAGTTCCCTGAGGGTGTTGCCTTGGGCTTGACACTCATTTTATCTGCACTCAGAGCCCAACGTTGAGGGCCCATGCAGAAGAGTTGGCTGCTTATTTGCATGGAGCAGGTGCAGGATCCATCTGTCCCTATTCCCAAGCATTAAAAACTCCATTAGAGTCAGGAAGTGAAACTTACCGACATACAGTTCTTAATGACCCCTGAGCAATATAAAGGCCTTTGGGATTTTACAAGATCAGTTCTACCTTAACAGAAGGAACAAGTTCAGTAAAAAGATCACTGAATATGTCTGTATGATCTTCTTTTGTGTGATGCTCTGGCTTTTCTAAGGTAGTCAATGCTCCAAGTGACATGGCTTAGTTGCAGCTTTCACTCTAAAAATTTGAAACTTGCTTTTTTATTGTCTTGCCACAAGTCCAATGAGGCGATTGATAACTCTCTCATGTCCTTGGTCACCTTTGTGCAGAGCAAGGCTAGCTGTTTCCCCTATGCTAAGCTAAGATAACTGGCTGCTGGCTGTATGAACTCAGGTTTCCCACGGGTCCTTGAAATCCTTTAAAGTTTCTGAATTTGAGAGGAAAAAAAGCAAAACCTTGAAAGTTTTTGAAAGTAGACATAAATTGACATTGGTCATTGAATTTATATAATTGTGCAAAAATAGAAATTGAAGTACATGTGATATTTCTTTTTATGTATTGTTAGTAAATAGGGTATGTAGGGCGGTGTCTCCCACCGTCTCTTAGCTCTTCAACTCGTAAAGAAGTCTCTGTCTCTCGCTAAAATTACACAATATATTGTTCTGCTGTGTTAGAGAAGGCAAGAGATCACATACATTACATCACTGTAACACTTGTAGCACAATTGAGATGTGAAAACATTCAAGCCTTTCTCTCTTTAATTGTTGTCTGCGAGCTTCTGTAAATCCCGCTAGTTCTCATTACAGATATTCACAGTATTTAAACAGTAATTAGCCTTGATCCATAGTCTCAAACTATGCCGTGTTAGATCCTTGAATTCGAGGGAATTGTGCCTGGAAAGTCCTTGAAAAGTCCTTGAATTTGATATTAAAGCAAGTGTGGGAACCTTTTTTTTTATATCTGACTATCAGCAAGAAAGCAAATAAGTGTACTTCTCAAAATGTTGATCTGTTCTTTTATGATATTTAAGGTATTGCAGATTTAAAAGGGTTCATTTTAAGGCTTCAATTGTACATCAGTTGTGTGTTCATGTTTAAAACATAAAGACAGATCTTTAGGAGGATCAAGCAGATAAAAATCCTTGAAAAATCACTGTACATTTCTAACATGCAACATCTCTGTTTTTACTTCAGCATAAAAGGCATGCTCAGAAGACAACCAAATACGTTGAGCTGATCATTGTTGCTGACAACAGAGAGGTAATACACCTGCCTTGCTTCTATCCACAAAGGCCGTTTTTGAACAACAGAAACAAAACACTGAAAACACAGTTACTCCTCATACAGCAAGAAAAAAAAAGGCAGGATAAGCTGTAGTAACAGTAGAACAGGTCCCACTGGAGCTGCAGAATTAGGTCAGTGTGCAGCAAGGAGTGTGGTCTGGTGGCAGCAGCTCCGTTTTGAGAGGAAGTGCTGAACGATTCCCCAGCGGGGGAGACAGGAAACAGGAAAAAGCCGTGTGGATAGAGAGGAGTCTCCCGTAAGCACTGATGAGCTCATTGTGGGGTTTCCTCCTGGCCGCTAATGCCACTGACCTGAAAGGAAAGAAAGGAAATGAAAACAAAAGAAAAGGAGTTAAGGGATCAAGTGTTCCGCCTCAGATTTGAAGTCCAGCACCAATGCAGGTGGATTCGCAGTAGGATGGAAATAGAAGGCCCGACTTTGCTGCAGTTTGGATCCACAGCTTCACAGGCTGTCAGATCTGCCAATATACATGCTCCCTGCGGCCGTGCCATTCGTCTCTCTAACACTAGGAGATTTTTCTAGATCCAGATGGTCACAGCTTGACAACCTGCCTAACAAACAGTAAAAACGTATTGCCTCTGAATATTGTAAGCATCTCATTCATACAAAATAATGCCTTTGCGGGTGTTCTGTTGTTTCAAGCTTTTTAGTTCTGAAAATGCCTGTAAACACAGTAACACAGTGCCATTTATATCTTCATGCAAAACAAATACTGTGGGTCTAAATGTTACAATTTCTACCACTGATTACATGTAATTTTGTTTGCAGTTTCAGAAACAGGGAAAGGACATCGACAAGGTGAAACAGAGACTGGCAGAGATAGCCAATTACGTGGACAAGGTAAAACATTCTCTCCCCTTTGCACAGGAGGGATAAATCACATTTTTAAAATAGAAATATTTCTGGCAGCAGAGATTAATGGGAGGACTGTGTGATATATTAATGTCCTACTAAAACAGCTGCTTTTAGTCTGTATAAAACCTCTGCCAGAGCTGTGAATCTGTAGCTAGAAGATAGAGTGGGCAGATGGATTTACTTGAGGGAAGCATGGATAGAGACGTGGAGAAGACATGCTGTAATCATGTGAAAAACATGAGGAAGAAACACTGGTGAACACAGGACAGGATTCAGAGCTGCCATAATGAAATGTAATACAATTCAATGAATTGAGTAACCAAATGTGAAAGGCTACGAAAGTATCTCAAACCTCTGCTTGAAGGTCTTTGATCATTCATGTAATCTAAGCTTTATAAACCCCCTGGCCTTTTTATCCACACTGTCTCTCTCTGCTTATCAATGTGCTCCCCTTCAGTTCTACAGGGCCCTGAACATCCGGGTGGCCCTGGTGGGTCTTGAGGTGTGGAGTGACTCTGATAAATGTCCCGTCACCCAGGATCCCTTCACCACCTTGCACGAGTTCCTAGACTGGCGGAAAGTCAAGTTGCTGCCTCAGAAACCGCACGACAATGCTCAGCTCATAAGGTGGAAATTTTAATTTAACATAAATAAAGGGAGCCCAGAAGTGAAAAATGAAATGTTCATATTGGTACAAGAAAACTGATGCTTGCAGGGCCGTACTAGTGGTTGTACATGTCTCAGCCCATTAGCTACAAAGTTGCTTATACTTTGCATTAGCGCTAACCATTTTTCTATTTTCCATTAATTTTACTGTTGTGTGTAAATGGGCCAGGGGCCATATTGAAATGTATGCCACATACAATACATACAAACAGTTGCAATATCACCATTTCCCCATTATAATAAAATAAAAAATAAAGTGACATTTTGATCTCCTCTTCACTCTCCTTCTATCCTCTGTCCTTTGCAGCGGGGTATACTTCCAGGGCACTACCATTGGCATGGCACCCATCATGAGCATGTGCACAGTTGAGCAATCTGGAGGCATTGTCATGGTGAGTATAAAACCCATTTGCTGCTCCCACCATGCCTCCGCCCTCCTCTTCCTCCGTGTAGCCCGATCGTATCAGGGTGGACATTGTTCAGATTCAGCAGGCTAACACAATCCAGATATGATTTAGGCAGAAAAAAGTGTTTGTTGTTTGCTGGAACGGCATTTATAGACAGGTCTGGCAGGAAGTTTTGCTTTTACGCACAATGATATTAGTACCCGAGTCCCTCATCAGTCATACCCTCATCATTGCCGCAAACAGCTAAGAGCTCAAAGGAATATGTAAAAATATATCCTCAGATGGGTTGCAAAGTAGATACACGCCCTCGTAAGATCATTTGAAGTCATTCAATTAGGTTTTCCTGTGACTTCTCTAAAAGGGTTGGTGGGGCACAGGGCTAAATCAAAGGCCACAGCATTTAAACAAAACCACATTTGCATTTTTATGAGATGTGATAAATTGTTTATTCAAGCTCTCACAGAGCGCACATTTGAATCAAAATGCATTTTTTACACACAACTGCGCATCGCCCCTTGGTACATTAAATTATTACACATAGTAAATTAGCTGCCTGTTGGGCTCCTCTGCCTGCTGTAGCACTTGACATCCATGCCAAATCACAAAGTGGTTATCTGCCCAGCGCTATTACATCCAAGCCCAGATGTGTATCCCCCATTAATAGATATGTTGTCTGCTGGCCGTGGCTGCGGTGAGGTTTCTCCAGATGTTTGTTGTCCCCATTACTTACAGACGGCAGAAGATTTGGACCGAGATTAAAGGGAAGTTTAGCCAGATGAGATGAGCCATGTCTCAAACCATACACTGCCATGTGTTAATCAACCTCAAATCCTTTATGTACTTTGTATGTTCTTTGAGTTTATACGTCATAATGTTATTTATTTTTTCAAGCTCTTATTGGTCTTTCTATGTGAATGCTTGGGTTTAAACTGTGACAGCTAACAATATCCACTTTTTTATGTCATTCTTGTCTGGGAGTTATTTTCTCACATGACTGGAAGTGATATCAGAAAGACTATCAGAGCATTTCTTGGTTGGAGCAAACACTATCAAATTCTCGCCGTCACAACAATGGCTTATAGCTGCTTCAAAGTAATGACTGTGGCTTCTTAGAATTTCATCCATTTCTGCTGACTCTGATATTGCACTTTTTTGTGAGGAGGCACTCAACTATGAATTACACACACACACACACAGAGACACACACAGATAAAATGTGACAGAAGCAGATGAAAGTTTTCCCATCCTTCTCTTTACAAGGCGGGGTGCAGTTACCCATGATGCTGCTCTGTAATCAGAGAAGAAAATAGCTCAACTTGCCCCCAACTTTGACATATGACCTCGCCCTCAAAGGAAGCATGTGATTGTCTCATGTACATGAGCATTCGAGGACCACATTAAAGATAAACAGTAACCACGTGGGGGGCCTATTTCTCAGGGGTTGTGAGATTTGAAATGCTAAAACATTTTTAAGCGCTTAACATTATTAAGGGTTTACATGCAAGCAGCCCTATACATGTAAGCACACTGCCGCCAGTTTTGCAGCACTTTTCTGTCTCAAGGCTGGAACCTGCTTCTCTGGGGGTCATTGTTTTATTTGTTTTTTTTCCTTTTCATGTTACATGTAGGCTCCTCTGTGTGCCTCTACAATACAACCTACTGTATGGTTACATGTAACACTGTTCTCCGTGTAGACATGTAGAGATGTTAACACACATCTTCAGAGAACCATAATTCCAGCATAAGTAATTCACGCATCCAGATGTAGCAATGAATGTGGAATCTATACTTTTTATATCTATATATCTATAGCTGTGAAAGTCTGACAGAAAGGTTGCTGGTAGGTGGATTTGTTACGTTTGGACAGAACCAGGTTAACGGTTTCACCTTGTTTCTATTCTTTATGCTAAGCTAAGCTAACCAGCTGATACTGATTATGCATCATACACACATGAGATCAGTGTCAGCGAATGTGTGTTTTCCAAAATGTCAAAATATTCCTTTAATGTCACAATATTAATAGGAACATTTTTCTGATATTAATGTGGGAAATGTACAAAAAAATCACACAATACAATCATATTGTCACAATAGAAGAAGATGGCAGACTACTGTCATTGTGTCATTCATCCCTGTTTGTCTCCTCTCCAGTCCCACTTTCATATTTATACTACACTGACTTAATTTCCCAGACACCCCCTACTCCCAATGTCTGTCTCCCTCTCAGCACGTCTGTCTGCGAAACTAGGTGAGATTGAAACTTCCACCTCTCTCTCGTCATTCTCCATCTCTGTCTGCCTTGTGCAGGGCAGTTGTCTCGCTTATCAATGGAGTAGCGAGTCATATGTAGGTTTATGGAGCTTCCTGCAGTAGCTGTTTCCCCTGGTTGCAGGTATGATTGGGTCTGCAGGGGTAATGGAATGGCAGATGAATTCAGGTCTCCACGAGGAGAATGAGTAATAGAAGAAGGAGGGGGGGGGGGGGGGGGGGGAGGGGGAGGAGGGAGGGAGGAAGAGGGGGGGGGGGGGGGGGGGGGGGGGGGGGGGGGCAGTTCGTACAGTTACTGAACTGTTTTCTGGAATCTGCAGCGTCTTCTTTGAACTTTGTGTTTTCTGTCTTCTTTTTTTGTGCTCTTCACTTTGGTTAGCTTTTTATCCGAAGCTTGCTCTGAGAACTTTGATTGAACTTGCAATATACAGGATTACACATGGTTTGCATGATCTCATGTTCTGGGTTGCCTTTTTTTTCCCCCTACTGTAGGATCACTCTGAGAACCCACTGGGTGCAGCCGTGACTTTGGCACACGAACTGGGACACAATTTTGGCATGAACCACGACACCCCAGAGCGCGGCTGTGGCTGCAGGATGACCGTTGATCGTGGAGGCTGCATCATGACCCCCTCTACAGGGTGAGATTCTTTTGTCCTTCTCCCTACACAACAGTACCCATGAGGAGATTACAATGCACAAGCTTTATGATTAAAGCATAAGAAGAATGTGATGCATGTTTATGCTGCTGGGCTGTTTGAGGCAGCTGTAACTTGTAGAAAAATTCAAATTAAATGTCCTCTGCACCACACTGTCATTGCAATAATTATGTTTTTATCTTTTATCTTTTTCTTTTAGCATTTCATCATTAGATTTTATGTATTTAGATTGCAGTTTGGGGCTGATTTGATCAGTGTTTTTCCATAATTACGATTTTCAATTTATGGTCTACTCTTGGAAAATCTTGAAGGGAACAAAGTTGGTAAAAGTGCCTTCAGATTTAAAAACATTAGCACAGACAAAGGTTTAAAATTGCGACTTTAGGCTGTTTCTCCCTTTTGTGGGCATTGATTTAGAGCCATTAAACAATTACCCTTTAAAAGCCTTGTTTCACACAGCTACAGGATTTAAATGTTTATCGGCTTTACCTCTCTGAATAAATTAGTGACTTCTTCTGCACCTGAACAGTCATAAAAGATAAATTAAGCTCCACTAGTTGCACAGGTTGGATCATTTTTATCTGTACATGATGCTCCATTGTTTTATGTGTTGATGTATGAGAGAGGGCTCAAACACACACACACACACACACACACACTCACACAGAAAGACACACAGACACACATTGGCCTGCGAATAAAGCAGCTGCACTAGCATTCTGCTCATGTTGCCTGGGTCGCTGAGATAACAGTGCTGCTGCAAGTGATGGACTCTGTGACTGTTAGTAAACAGCAAGCAGATAAGGCGAACCCAGAGCGCAATACCAGATTTCACCCTTGGTCTGGTGCCAGTCTGGTTTGTCTGATGGATAAATTCCACAACGCTGTGAAGAAGACAGAGAAAAAAGGCTGAAAGACAGTTACTATTGGTATTGAAATATTTTGTTGAGTTTTCAAAATACAGACAAACAGAGAAGCAGCTCACACAGAAACACAAACAACAACCCCAGCCCACGTCTATCCTACATATTGATAATATCAATGCACGTTAATGGGGATTTGTGCAGTTTCGATAATGCAGCAGGAAAGGTTGCAAAATCTTATAAAACTTTCTGGTTGAGCCAAGAGTAGTATGCTCGTAGTATGTTGGAGTTTGAGATGTCCAGCCAGTGTTTATGAGGTGATGGTGGAGTCTTTTTCACTTAGAGGAGAATCAGTCATCACAAGCAAACAGTCTAACTATAGAAGCAACTGTAGCTTGTTCAACTGTGATCTTGGCTGACAGAAGATTAGGATCAAAAACACACTTGAAAGTGTATTGAAAACACCTGTCCAGAAATCTTACAGCCACAGACAGGACCCGGATGCCCGGATCAGGCCCACATCTTCAATGAATTCAATTATGTATCAAATTCACAATAAAAAGAAAGAAACATAGGATTCATATCAAGATTGTTTGTGTATGTTATGTGTTTTTGTAAAACATTACTATCAGCCGATAAAGAGTTATAGGATTTTTTTTAATTCCAAACATCGATATCGGCATCAGTCTGGCTCTACACTGAACCAGGCCAATTGGTAACTGCTGGGATTTGTGAGCCCAGTTTGTTTTCACATTGAGCCTTAATGTGAAGCGGCTGCATGAGTCAAAGACACAGGAAGGAAACTGTGAATTAGATGGACAAACAAGCAGACGAATAGACTGTTGAGAAATGTAGAAAAGGGTAAATACAGCTGTTACAGTACAGCGGCCTAATTAAAATGACATTAACAATGATGTACTAAGCGCTGAAGCACCTTAGTTGAGAGCAGTGAGCCACATTAAAATCTGTGAAAAGATTTCCAGGCTCTAGTTGTGGCCATTGTTATCAAAAACTGACATTAAAAGAAGATAAAATAAGCAGAGATGCAGTGGAAAAAAACAACAGATGGTTTTTTGAGCACATCCTTCAAAATGCCACAAAATCTGCTGAAAAACACATGAATATATAACTTTGCTATGTTCCAGAACTGTCCCAGAAAAACTTGAATGACCTTTTACTGTACAAATAGAAAGAGGGAGGGTATGTGGGAGGGGGGGCTCAGAAACTGTGTTTGTTTGTACAGCCACTGGCAACAGTGAGCTCATCCTGCTGTTCTCATTCTACAACATTTATTACAGAGAAAAAAAATACATAATGCACACAGAGCACCACTGGATTTATGCAGTGTAGTTTTTAAACATGCACTCAGTGTAGTGATGTGATGACTTTCCTGTAGTGCGTCAGCGGCCAAAGATATCTAATGTCGTCATGCAGAGAGTTTAGAAAAATGACTGATCTAAATGAGTTAGAATGAGTGATGGCGTTATCGAATTCTTGGTAACAGAATAGGTTAATGAAGCACAGACGCTCTCTCTCAGCACTGTCTGCTACATAATTATGAGATTAGACACATTAATAGTTGAGAGAGGTGATCAGTGACCTTTCATTCTGAAACTCGCTCCTCTGTTTGCTAAGTAAAGAGTGCAGGATAAATCCATACACTGTGTATGCTGACATTTTGTCTGGCAATTTTGTGTTGATACACTGACTCCAAGTATCAATATTTTCCTATTTAATTATTAATATTTTAATTTTGCATTGACCATTGTTCATTGCAGACTGTATGTTTGTGCTCAGTGAAGATGACTATAACATTTAATGGACTTCATTGATTCTTATAAGTGGGCGGCACGGCTGCCTCACAACAAGAAGGTACTGGGTTCAAACCTCTCTGTGTGTAGTTTGCATGTTTTCCCCCTGCCTGCGTGGGTTTCCTCCGGGTATTCCAGCTTCCTCCTTAGGATAATTGGTGACTCTACATTGCGCGAAGGTGTGAATATGCGTGTGAATGGTTGTTTGTTTGTATACGTTAGACCTGTGATACTGGTGAGCTGTCCAGGGTGTACACTGCCCTCGCCCAGTGTCAGCTGAGATGTCTCAGAGATGTCAAAGATGAAAGCAAGGAAAATTTATTTTATAGCACCTTTCAACAACAAGGTAATTCAGCGTCCTTTACATGAGACATAAAGGGCCTTGTCATGTAGTTATTATCACAGAGAATTATCACCCAACTCAGTGTTGTGTTTTAGTGTCTTCCAGCTCATTGTTTTTGGTTTTATAGCCTGCAGCTTTACAATTTGGTTAACTGTCACCGCTGTGATATACCCACTGTATGCTACCTGCCCAGGAAGAGACGACAGGCACACTGAGCAACTAGCTGGTGAACAGTTAAAGAGCCAGATATTTCCCTGAGAAGATGGTGGAGGGCAAACACAGAGCTAAAAAGGAGAGTGAATATTGGACTTGCATTCATCAGCTGAACAGAAACTCAAAATAAATGCTTATGTTGCTCCGTGTCTACTGGACGTGTAAACTAGCAATTTTTTCGCTAAGACGTTCATTCGTGTGTCATGGTGTGTTAACAGTTTATCACAGCTGCTTCCAAGAGGCCAAATAAATCACACAATACTACTTTAAACTCATAATAATGTTCTTACATGGGCTTCCTTTGTTTTTATTTTTTATATTAAGGGTGAGAGATCAACTGTGTTGTCTAGACAATGTTGTTGTTTAGATGATATCAGTTGAGCTGCGTTAGACTTTAAGCCACAGAGAGCTCATAGTCTTAAGTTTGTCATAAGAAACATTTTTTCCAGAGTTTCTATGCCAGCTTAAATGGGGAAAATTATCAACTTACTCAAGTTTATTTATTTATTTATTTATTTTCTTTTCTTTTCATTTTTCTCTTTTTATATTACCAGCCTTCCCTTGACCCTCAGCCCAGATGCCTTCAGAATGTCAAACACATCGTTGTAAAACAGGGAAGCTCATTTGACTGTGTGTTTGGGATACTCTTAGCTTAGACTTGCTAATGGAGGAGAGGACAGGCTGCATCTAAATGACATGATTATCAGTGACGCTGCCAGCTGCAATCAGGGCCAGGGCACAAAGAGAGATCCGCAGAGAGGTGCTTTATGCCTGGATAGACAGGCAGCGTTGAGGAAGCTGTGGTTTTATTTGCCTTTTATCTCCCTCAGTGGTAAAGCAGGAGGGGAAACACAAGAGAGGTAGAGGTGAGAGTGAGAGACAAACAGGAGAGAGATGACAGTGAAGGAATTATTTAGGTACACATGGACAACGATGACAGGCGTATGAGACCGGCCGCGGGAGATTTGTGTCATAACAATGAGTGGAAATTTGAGGGACAGAGGAAGGGAACAGAGTTTACACGGACATTTTGAAGTGGAGATGTCTTTTAGAAGTTGAGCTAAGAGTTGCATCATATGAACGTGGGGAGAAAGCTCAAAAGTGCTTTCCTGTGTCTGTATGTGTGACTCAGAAGAAATGTGAAGCACAGCAGGGAACGGTGGCTCGACTTTGAGGCCAAGAGGTGAATACTTCGTCAAGACAATATGAGGGAGCTTGTGACTCTTGTTATTTTCTTGTCGAAGTGACAGAGTGCAAGTGAGGTGAGAAGGTACAAAATGTCATCATCTGCTGTGGAGAGGAGGGAGAAAGCTAGTGAGGTTGCCAGTGGGTAAATGTTTGCAGTAAATTTAGCTTGTGTTTTGCTTTTCCTCCTGATATTTAATCACCATAGGCTCCTGCCAGTGTTGCAGCCTAACATTTGTTGAAAGGTCAGACATGTCGCTCCTGCTTAGCTCGACCTAAATACATGTCAGTCTGTGGTGCAGCATAGACAGCAGTAGAGACAGCTTGATGTCGGCCTGTGAGCCCACAAAAGGAAGAGCCCCTCATGTAACCAGTGCCTACACTGTTTACAGACCCGTTTCACTCCCCATCCAGACTGACGTTTCCTCCTCCTCTGAACCCACCGGCCTCACATGCTGAGATGATTAAACTGACAGGAATCATCTGCACTGCACATATGGCTTCAGATCCAGGAAAAGCTGCTCGGTGCACAGGAGACTGTATCTCTGCATCTCAGTGCACTGTCAA